ACCCGCCTCTTTTAATTACCAATAAAATATTCAACATATACATGTGAGATATAAATCTCAGTAGATGAGCAATAACGAATTTGGATTTCATATTTAATTATGGAAAATCATAACATACATATGGAGACACGATAATTAAAATCCGAACTTTGTGGCTATAATTCCTGTGCGTAGCGCTACTAAATTTCGATCCTTTGAACTTACACATATACTAAATGACATATTTACATATAATTTCATCTATCTTTCAAATTAACTCTTTACTTAGGTCCTCAAACTATTGACAAGTAATTAATAAGGTCATTTAATTTGGTCAATAACCAATAAGCTCATTTGACTTTAATAATAGCGTTTAAGTCCTAATTTTTAATCTAACGACTAGTAATAAAAATTTGGGATATTACACTCAAACTGGACCATCTTGTTTGGCCCAGTTGCCTAGCTCCTAATAAACATGAACTACCTCTGGTTTTCCCTAACTATGAACTGACTGGTTCAGCTTGGACCTGGGTTTCAGCAGTTCAGGCCAATTACACAATTTTCTGTGTTTTTTAATTTTTAGCTTTTTCAATAAATACCTAATATTAATGGTAGATAAATCTTATTATAATATGAATGCACCCATTCCTGTTCTATCTGATTTCTTAAACCTTGAACTGAAAGGAACCTAACCGTATTTGATACGGCTCGGTTGTCTTTCATAGGGAAATAGAAGATCCCAAATATTGACTAGTTTGGTTCGATTCAACCAAGAAGAACCACCAGGTTAGCTTACCCTTATCGGTAAGAGCCTGATATTGGGCATCTCGATTTAGTTGAAAATCTGGATATGAAATCTATTTTTAACTAATTTTTTACTCCCTCAAAATGTTCTGAATGATTCATTTGGTAGATGTGAGAAAGTTTTAATATTGCTGTAAATCTATCACATCCCCTGCTTTTATCTGAGTTTGTGACCAGTCTACCAGATGGTTATGTTCTTGTGGTTGTTTCATGTTGGTTCCCCCAAATAAGAACAATAATATTCCAAAATTGCAATTGATATTAAAGATGTCTACTGTTTTTTTATATCCACTTCTAGAAGATGATTTGATTGTATAACTTCAATTGTTCTTGAAATGATACAGACGATGGTGAAGTTGATGACAAGGAGTTCTTGAGAATGATGAGGAGAACTTCATATGGGTAATAGGGATAATCACACCTGTGTCCATGTTCGAGAATGTTTTATTTGTCTTCATTCTATGTTATTGTATAACCTACCGGTTATTGTATAATATGTTCTTGAATAATGAACAATGTAGGAAGTTGATTTGATTTGATTGAATTATTGTTTAAAGAACATGGTTACATGAAAATATCCAGGCTTGTTGCTGTTCAAAAATGCCGTGCAATTGTCCCGTTGAGTTTGCCATTACAGATTTCTGCTACCCACATAGTAGTGTGATATGAAAATCTTGCGGGATCCAGTCTTTGTTGATTATCAATGCTATTTATGTTCCCCTTGAGCCTTATTGCTTATATACTGCTATTTGAATCAGTTGATCTAAGGACAGTTGTGAAATCGTATAGACCCTTTCTAAATAAGAATACTCATTTTCAACTACTCTACCGTCTTGTGTGCCTTATGGACCAATTTTGGGTCTAAAATTGCCTTCTCTAGTTGCTGTTAAATTCATCCCAGCTATACGTTGTACTGCCATGGTGATATGTACTTCCACCTCTTCGTCCAGCCTGCCTTGTGCTGGCGCCCTCTCTAGCTATAGTGTTGTGCATTGAGCAATCTTGGTGAAGACCTCGGATCTCTCTACGCAGATTGCATTTAGTGAACCTCAGCATGGCTTGGATCTTATCAATTACCTCTGTTGCCTTAGTTCACGACGAGGTACATTCTTATTCCTGCTGTATTATTTAATGTGGGCTGGGATGACATCTCACCTGTGCTCCACCTCTTTATTAGAGTAAGGATCTTACAAGACTCTTCTTGCAGTTCTTGCTAAGTCGTCCTTGCACGATCACTGGTGATTTATGAATGCTTGGTATACCGTATATAGTATGCAGAATATCAACCTTTCAGAGCACCTTCCGTTTCCCTAAGCGGATAACTCGGAAGATTCTTTAAGAGTGAATTTCGTCAACTGAGTGGTTTTAGATTGTACCATCATCATATAATGGATAAGGTTTAAATTTTCATCTTTCATTTTTTTTTTCTCTCTCTTACGAAACTTGACCATTTTTTACTATCCAATCAATACTTCTGCCTATTAATCTAAAGAAACCAATTGTCTTTAGAAGGGAGAATTTTTACACCGAGACTTGATTGGTTCTAATGTTTTGCTATGACAACTGATAAGCAATGCTATTTTGTGTATTCAAACGGAAATTTTCACCATATGACTTGAATATCTTAAATTTATTTTAACTAAATACTACTTAAGTAGGGAGAAGTATAGAATGAATTGCAACTTATTATGCAATTTAAACTAAATTCCTCTAATGGTTTAACTGAGTGTGATTGAAATGTTTTCAACCCTTGAACATTGTGTGCACGGTATGCTTACCTTGAAAAAACAATAAAAGGTGAAATTGTTCAAAAATTTATTGTAAATTATAAAAACCAAAATGCGACTTTTCAAAATCCTATTAAAGGTTGCACTTCTATTTTTATTTTTATTTTTGGGGGGTGGGGGAACAATTTTACCATTTGAGTTAGATATCCGGTGTGTGTATGGCCAATTAATGTCTAAGCAAAGTTTTCTATCAAGAGAGATATCGCATTAGGGGTCAACATGGTTCGGTTTGGACGATTTGTGTTATATTTTCAACTCAAATAATTTCATGCGGTTTGAATTTTTTTTTTTAAATCAACAAAATCATTATTTTTCGAATCAAACCAAACTATAATTTGCAGTTTGAATTTGCAGTTTACTTATCGACATTATAGTAATATATTTAAAACAAATTAACATATAAGTTTAAACGAGAACTAATAATGTTAAATACTAAATTACATTCATATTTACCATGAAATCTATAAATAAATTATTTTCAAAATTGGCTGCTAAAAGATGTTAATAGAATAAATACATCTTTCTTCATTTTTTTTTTCCACATAGCGGTTTGTAGATGTAGAATCACATTCTCCTATTGTAGTTTGACTAAATTCCTTTCGTCTTGCTAGTGAGATGTTAAATAAGGATTGAACATAATGTGTTTAGATATGTACAAAGATTGATAATAGTAGTATTAGTTAAAGACTTTAACATTTTCACACAATCAATACGTTTTGTCTTTCGTTATTTTCAAACCACAAATAAGTTTATTAATCATCTAAGCATACAAATAGTCATTTTTTTTATCAGAACCACAACTTACAAGTATATAATAAGTTCAAGAACAATAAATAACAAAAAGAACGATGAAAAGATGGATTGAATGAGAATTTGAGACTTGCTGAGAGAGGAGAGAAAGAGGCGATTCAAGTAGAAATTAGCATACTAACAGACAAAAAGCGACTGTCGATTCGTTTAACAATGGCAGACAAGTGTCAATGTTTGGGAAATGAGAGTTTATGTTAGGGTTTTTGAAACTTTGGACGTGATTTGTGTTGTAGTTTTGTTGTATTATGATTTGGACTGTTAAAAAAATATTTTTTTTTCTCATTTCATATGATTTGGGAATAATTTTAATTTAGTTTTAAATTTAAATATCAGGTGAAAACATGTGTTGTGAACTTGTTAAACCATGAGCTAATAATGATGAACCTAATGTACTTTATATAATTATTTAAATGGGTTTATTGTAATTTGTATTGCCAAATTGGTATTTTTACTGAAAAATGAACTGTAAAATTTATAAGTTAATAAAATTAATGTTTTAATTAAAAAATTATAGAATGACTCGATTCGATTTTGTGCTGTTTTTTGAAAATCGAAACCTAAACCAAACCATTTTGAAACTATTTGGTTCAGTTTGAGGGAAAAAAATCCGCGAGTCCATGTGGACCCGAACCAACAATTTCAAATCAACAGTTTCAATTCGATTTGCGATTTCACGATTTTTTCTGCAGCCCAATATCGCATGCCAACATTGTTAAAAGTTTAGGACGTGCTACAAATTAAAGGTTAGGGATATGACTGTTGCACTGTAAAAATTCAGGAGCCGTAGAAGAGTTTATCCCTAGATTCAATAGCTCACATAATTGTTCGTTGGAGATGAAATAGGAAAAAATTCAAGTTGGGGGACCCCTAGATGAATTTACCTTAAATTCAATAGCTCAACGTAAATCTACTTGGTTAAATCGTTGAAGATGAATATAGGGAAAAAAAATCAATTTTAATTTTTAGATTCTGTAAAGAGTACATTTAAGAGTTTTTCTTTTTAAAGTGATTAGAACTTAGAAGTTGCGGGTCATACAGAATGCGTGAATAATAAGTAATAGTAATTGTGAGTCTTACGAAATATATGAATAAAAATATATTTTGAAACATTTAAAATAATTTAAATTATAATTTAAACTTTACCAAACATGCACTAAGTGTGTTCAGTACGGTTTTTTCAAAGTCCAAAAGCACCTTTCCAAATGGCAAACAACCCTTTTGGTTAATATTATTGGTTAAATTCAAAGAGTTTTTGTACAAGACAATTTTTTCGGAACATTATGTTGAAAATATTATCCTTATTAAATTAATGAAACATCAAATATATTTAAATTATTCAATTTTAAATATTTGTTAAAATATAAAATTACACATAATGTGTATAATTGAAATAAATATAATTCATATAAATAAATTTAATTTTTTTAATAAAATAATTATGCCATCATAATTTTATTAATATAATTATTTTAATAGATTTTATAAGACATGAAGTAAATATTATTTATGAAAATGTATGAGATATAATAAATAATTGGTTATTCAACCCTGACCATCATACTTTCCATTTATTGTCATCATGTCCTTTAATTTGTTTCTTACTAATATGGGTTAAATAGCACTACGGGCCCTAACATTTGAACCATTTGATGATGGATTCCAAACTTTTAGGGTGCATTCGATTTGTTTTTTTCAAGTCATTTTCAATTTTTAATTTTGCAAAACGCTAACAATGTCTTTGGTTTATTATTTTTGAAATTTCATTTTTGAAAACAAGAGTAAATTCATAACATAAAATTGAAAATACATTTTTTGACGTTTTGAATATTTTCAATGAAAAATCTGAAGACACTCAAAACATGGAAAATTAGGGTTTAATAAATTATTAAAAATTACAAATTTCAAAAATTTCAAAATATAAAATTTTAACGAATAATTTTTTTAAAATTATAAAAAATTAAAATTCTAAGAAGTAAATTCTAAAAAATAAAATCTAAAATTTTAAAAAAGATAAAATTCTAACTAAAATTCTAAAAAAAAAAAAAAAGATTATAAAACTTCTAGAGAAATAAAAATTATAAAAAATAAAAATAGTTCAAGCTCTTAATGATTATTTACATAAATAATTTTAAAAAATATTTAAATGAACAAAATCATCCGATGGCCATTGTGACAAAATAAAATTTGGTAGCCACGATGACATTAATAAATGGATAATTCGATGGCCATAGTGACAGTAAAATGGAAAGTTTGATAGCCATGAGTGAAATCAACCCTTGAATTATGTTTAGTCAAATAAATAAATAATGTATAACAAAACAAAATCATTTTTATAGTTACGTGACACATTTTGAATTAACAAGAAGCAAAAGATCTTGAAAAACCTTTTTAATATTAATTCTTCCTAAAAAAATATTTACAAAATCCAATGTAAAACATTAGTTGATTATAATCGATTAGATTTGTCTTTACTTTGTTCGACTTTATTTGCGTGACTTCAAAAATCTCATTAGTAAAAGCAAATTATTTAAAACTTGAAAAGGTCAAAAGAGATCTAGAAAAAGGATTTAGGTCCTGTTTGAGTCTCATTTTTACCTCATTAAAATGAAAAATATGACTATTATCCATCACATCAAACCACCATTTTTGAATTTCTATCTCTTGTGTAGAGTCCATAACGGTTCTATTTTTCATTCTCATTCTACAAATAATGTGGCTCAAATCGGCTCTTAGTAAATAACTTGTATGTCACGAGTGTTAGATATTTTGTTGAAAATTTGACTATTGGTATTTGGTCCTCGATCGACTCTACAATAAATAGTTCAAATCTATGTTTAATTTCATTGGAAAAGACACAACTTAGAGAATTGTTTCATTTTGGGCAGCCAAGTTCAAATTGTTTAAAATTATCACATTACTTACATTTTTATTTCACTTCAACTATTGCATATCATTTCAAAGTCTGATAAAATTCATATAGTGATGGACGAAATTTGTAGTAGCGCAACGCGCAATAACTTTTTTAGGTGAAATTGGGATAGTTTTCATCAATTTAAACAAAATTTTCAAAATAAATATAAGTGTTGTAAACAAAAGACGATTGACATTTAATTTCATCTCCAACCACTCATTCAACCTTTTCGTTCGTTTGAGGTCACAAACACCATATGCCAGCCTTCTTGTGACTCACAGCCGTACCACTAGTCCACAACACTCACAAAACTTTTCTGGCTAAATTATCCTTTACATAAATTGCAATAAATAAATAGATTTTTTTTTTTTTTAATTCTATAGTAATTATCCAAGCAAATTAATTAGGTTTCATAAGTTTTATAGGATATGAAACAAAAAATTACTATGATACAATTTAATAGTATATGAAACAAAAAATTATTATGAAAATAATATGAAATATAATAAATAATTAAAGTTTAGTCACATAAGTATATAGCATAAGCAATTTTAGTCCCTGTTTGCCACCTATTTAATTTATAAACATAATCCATCAAACTCAAACTTATTCTTTTATCCAGATTTTCCACAAATATCACTCATCTCTGTCTATTTATAATTTAAATCAATTATAATCTATACTCGAACTAACTATAAAATTATACAGCTAAACAAGTAATTTAATATTAACTCCACCTGACAACCAAACAAGAACAACTTTTCAATAACTCTCCCTGAAAAAAGCTACTTACAGAGCTCTAAATCTAAAAGCTCCACTCGCAACAATACTGCCAGACGAGCAATAAATAACAAGGGAAGAGAGATTTACATTTGAAAACATCGTTCACTCTCCCGCGCGGGCAAAACCTTCTTGTTAGTAGCAATTAGATGTCGAAAGGATGGATACAAGCAAAATCAACATATAGGAATGGTGTTTTGTTAAATGCCACCATAAAAGCCAAACGTCCACTGGAATCCTCCCAAGACCCTGATTATATATACACATCGGACCAGAGCTCGAGGAAAATATTTACAAATTACGAAACCCCAGTGTTCGTCATGCTCTTCCCATAGCCGCCGGCAGCAGCAGCAGCAGCGGCAGCACCACGAACGGCATTCACCACGTCATCCTTGCATTTGTCACTTGTTCTAATCACTTGACCATTGCATCTGCATCTTAAGCAATAAAAATTTGTAGGCACTGCTTCAGAATCAGGTATAGAAGAACATCTGGTGTGCTGCCATACACCACAGACATCACAAGCCAGCATTCTCTCCCCATCGTCGTCCATGGCTCCGCAAATGCAATCCACAATCCATCTCTCAGTACCCCTTTCCATCCTATACCTACTCAAACAATTTTCTCCAATAAACTTTCCCCGAATCCGAACAGATTCAGCAGACCCTAACAAGAGCTTCACTTGGGTGGATTCATCAACACAGCTATAGCCCATCAGCTCTTCAGCTTGGAACCTTCTGAACATCAAATACACTTCTTGAAAGGCCTTCATTGCCTCAAGCTTGAGGTCAGCAATAGTGGCGTCAGGGGGAAGAACGAGCAACTCGGGTGGAGGATTAGGGATGTATTCTTCAGATTGTTCAGTGAGTTCCACTTCACAAAACAGTTGTATTTCTTTTGATCCAGAAGCTGGAAAAATGTTCTCTGGATGGAAGTTTTTAACAAATTGCTTGCAATCACGTAGTGTGGAAGCTGCACTGACTGCGAGATCTCGTTTTGTTGAAGGCATGTGGTTCACCATTGTCTCAGGACAAAGCATGCATTCATACAAGTATCTCAGATCTTGCAGGAGCCGTTCATTGCACGGATATTGCGTGACAAGGATGCTGTTCAAAGCTGAACTGGTATTCAGTGGTGCATTTCCTGGCTCAAGTCTGCATCGGATGATGCAGGAAAAAAACTACGAGCTTAGCCAAATATAAAACAAATACAAATTATTGGCTCACGTAAAGAATGAAGAGGTAGTTCAAAAACTGGAAGCACAGAACATTCAACAAATGCTGCAAATTCATACATTGCAGCTTAAATATGAGAATCAGAAATGCAGCTAAAGAGAAGTCAAAATTGCCAACCTGTATTCCATCACACCAGAATCAGAAATGCAGCGGGCATTGACAACCATTCCTTGAGATGCCTGTTTTCCCTTGAGCTCTTTGAGGCAATAATCCAGAAGCTCAGGACTGCCAACTTTGCAAACAGCACCTCTAAGGGCACGCCAACTCACCCAGGTGGACCCACTAACTGCACGCAGAACCTTGAACATAGCTTCTTCCACTCGTGAAATATCATTCATAGTCCATGAGCACAGGGCCCTAGATTCACAAGTTTTATGCTTCTTGCAAGGAGGAATATCAGACCTCAAGGAACCCTTCTGAGCATCATGGATCAAACTCATTAAAAAGCAGAAGAGGTCTCTAACATTTACAAGTTCACGCTCTGATATTGACTGATAAAATGAAATCAAATCCTGAAGGTGCGTTCGAGGCTTTCGCCCTTGAGATAGAAATATGGACAAGGGCAAACAGGACAGGTCTTCAACAGCCATTCTGTAATCAACTCGTGTTAAAGCAAAACTCCCAGCACCAAACTCGTAACCCCAATCTCCATACCAAGGATGGCCTTTAGTTATGGCATGTAGCAGTCGTAACTCTAACCCGTGCTTCTT